TTTATTTTTTTTTTTGGTTCTATTGCACAGTTTAAAAACATCGTTCCTACCGAGGAGGAGAAGCTTACGCTTTCGTTGGACTCATTTTTCAAAAAAAAAATGAATTCACTCGGAATGATATTCCATCAACACCCACTACTCAGCATACCAACGACATTGACGTTATATCACGTCTCGACTCAATCAGTGCTGAACTCGAGACCTTGAAACAAGCTTTCTTCGAGTTCTCGAGGCGTGTTATGGCTGAATTTGAGTTGTTCAGAGAAAAATTCATTGTAAGTCATTTGTTGATTTGCATTGATTTTGTTGTTACTTAAGGTGTGCTGCATATACGAGATATGTGTTCATCTATCACACAATTGATTTATGTTTTTTGGTAATTGTTAATGTAATTCTTATAAGTATGCTAATATATGTTAGTAAAATTCAAGTATATGTGGGGTACTTAAAATGTGTGGACTGGATGTTAAAATGTGTGGACTGTATGTTAATAATACTTAAGTTTATTTACTAGTGCATATATGACAGTGCTATTGTGATTTTTCAGTCAAGTATAATTTTTGAGTTAAATTGTGTTTGGTGGACTGTACCTTCATTTTTATGGATTGTATTTTCATTTTATGTAATCAATCTTAATCTGATAACATTAACATGATACATTAGGTTGGTTCAAGTGAGGACCATCACACAGACAGAGAAAACACGAGTGGATCTCGCGATGGGAATGAAATGCCTGAAAAAGAGACGGTTTGTTTTCTCGATATTCATATTTATTAACCATAATACATTTTAGCTAACACATCTATCAAATTAGACTATATGAAATTGTGTTAATGTTTTTTTTTATTTTTTTTTAATATGTATAGCCTTTACAGAACCCATCCAATGTTAATGTTGAGATTCCAAATGAGGTATCATTATCCCTTTTAATTTTTTTTTTTTTTTAAAAATGTATATGAAGTACGAGTTTATTTGTTTATACCTTCCTTTTTTTTTGTTAAAAAGCAAACGAGTGTCAAGTCTCCCGTCAGAGCCTTCAGAAC